TGATGTTAGCTTGACTAGTGCACGAGCAGTAGTTGACGCTGAATCTATCTCATAAAGCTCTTTAATGTGCTGCCACGAGGCCCTTCCATTTTCAAAAAGTATATTGTTTTTCATCAAATTATTCCTAATGGATTTAATTAGATGTGGAGGGTCATAAACAACAAAGATCTGTTTATTTTCATTTAAGAAAAAAGGCTTTTCTTTACTAACTCCCAGGAGATTTGCAGCTTTCACATTGTTGTTTCCCTGGTCACAAACAAGAGCACGTACATTTAATCCTGTTCTGCCCACCTCTCGAACCACGTCAACAATAATCTTTGACAGCAAACTACCTTCAGTTGGCGTTCCACTCAGGTAGTACGCAATGGGCATTTTCCATTTGTGGAATATGCCGCGTACCATAAACATTAGTACATGTGTTGCGACGCGTGGTGATCGCCCGTGGGGTCCTAGGTCTTCAAACCCCTCTACCAAATCACGCTTTTCATTAAACGTCAGGTGCTTTTTGATGACCATTTCGTCGTATATTAAAACCACTTGTTTTTCATTTTCGTTCATGGTCGTCGCTTTGAACTTCATTTTATCTATAAGATCTTGGGAAATTCCAGGCATAAGGTCGATGACATTAACCCAACTTGATATTGTACGACGACTTGGCAAAATAAATTGTTTGTCGGTTATCAAGTTGGTGTATAGTGCTGGTGATCTGTAGTGGAGTTCTACAGCAAGCTGCTTCTCCTTTTCTGACCATTGCGTACCCCTTGTATGCAACATTTGCATTTTCAGTAAAGTTTTAAAAGGTTCGCTTGATATATAACCACAAGCGGTAGAATAAGCCTTATGTTTTGTTATACGTTTTAGCTTTTGTCGCCGGGACTTTTCAGAAATTTGGTGAAGTTTACGTTTGCTTTTAAATAGTCTTTTTTTAAGTTTTATTTTCCTGGGCGTATCTGGAGATGCGTGACTTATCAACTTACTTCTTGTGACCGGGGTGTGAACGGCTGTGGGCGCTGATTCTGTCATCGAGCACAACTTCATTCTTTTGGCAAGGGATGTCGGTGGCGGAGGCAAGAACTGGGGTTGTTGAGACAGAGGCGATGATGACTGTGGTGGTGACGTAGGCAGGAACGGAGATTGTCCAGGCAGAGGTAGCTGTGGCGGAGGCTGTAACGCGAGTGATGATGGACCAGCCCCAACGAGCATCTGTCGTTGTCGGTCGATCCAAGACAACGGCGGTTGACTGTCGGGATCATCAGCTGTTGTTGAGGCTGAGGTTGTTCTGGGGACCGTTTGGTGTACTCCGAGGTCTGGATGCACTTCGGTATCTTGAATAAACAAAGTAGGCACTGCGTCTTTTCTCAATTTACTACTCTTAGACGGATTGTTGAAGCATAATGGCTCAAAATGTTTCTCGCAAACAATCCGAGACCCGAGAGCAGATAGGGGCAAATCTATTTGCTGGCTGTTAGCACAATTGATGACCCAACGATCACATACTTCCGGATTTCTTACAGGGAATTTAAAAAATCGCAATCCATCTCTTGGTTGAGATGACGTACATGATAAAAACGCACACTTTTTGCTTCCGCCTGACATATCTAAAAGCACATTGCAACTAGTTCACTAAAATCCTGTACAAAACTAATAACGATACGTATTAAAAAAAAAACTAACTAGGCACATGTATACTAATAAAAACTAATGTTTAACGAAACAACTGCGACTACATAGAGGCTAACTGAATTGAACCTCTTTAGTCCACGTCCGGCACAACACTAACACAAGAATCACAAAAAATGCCCTAGGAGTGGCCAAACTCGTGCAGAAGTGTGAATTGACTTGGTTGATTTACAACATGCCATATAGTTGTATCGGTGTGTCATCCCCATGGACGGTGGCGAGTCACGTACTCCAAACCACCCCGACCGAGGCGGGTTGGTGAAGTGAAGACTCGTCTCGCCTTTGATGCCGCCGGCCGTTTAACAACGGACGGAGGTTAACAAACCCCGTAAAAATTATAGATAAAAAAGTGAAATTGAGGATCTGTTTATGTGCGCATCCTGAGTACGGAATCAACGTTTAGTAAAATGACAATTCCACATTTATTTCTAGATAATTATAACCGATTTTGTCTTACTTTCACTCATTTATAACTTGTCACTCTGTACTTGTATGATACCACTACAGTATCATTGATATACCACTAACAGTGTCCCTTTAATTATAAACCACGTGCAAAAACATAATGTTGCTAGTTTTAAAACCCAGATATAGTGTCCGTAGTCACAATGTTACTTATGTTGAATTAGTTAAAATCTACCTGTTCAATGAAAAGGAATGTCTTGGCAGGTGGGTTGTGACATTCCTTAAGTAAAAAAAAATGCCTGTCCCAGATTTTTAGTCATATTTATTCATATCTTCAAAATAAAACATTTCTACTTTAACTCCAAACTCTTTACTCTTTTTGTGTTAAAATACGCACAGTTTTAACAATTTAAAATACCCCTACCAGAGCAAACCTGCTGACGAAGCGAAATTTAAATTTCCCTAATTGGATTCATACTACAAAATTTCCATAAACAAAACAAATTTATTTCCCAGTTTGAATAACATTAGATTTACGATTTAAGTGATTAGGTTTGCTGGTATGGGATGAGTAACAATTGTTTCTCTACAACATTTTTAGTACAGGATGAAATAAATAAGATTTTCAAAATGTTGGGCAAAATATTATATTTATAAACAAGTAAACTGCAACAGTTTACTTAATGGCATACGAATTTTAAATTTACAATTTTTGGAATTGAAACTCAATCTCATTGAGTTTCGCCCTAAACCTTCAACCCAAATTTCATGAAAATAAGGACAAAATTAATCGCGTTCACGTACAAACAAATGCATACAACAATTTGAATCAATAGTGTTTTTAGCCTCTATGGACATAGAAATGAAAATGTTAATTGGTCCCGGGCCTAAGTCTTGCCGTGCCACCTACGTTAATAGCTACAGTACTTCCTTATAGGGAAATTCGCTAGAAATCTAGATTCGGTTAGGTGGAAGTGAAAATAAAACGTATGGACATTCTGAATTTTTAACTAGAAAAGTAAACAAACAAAGGTAAACATTGTTGCGTCTCAACCAAGTAAATAATTAAATGCTAAATTATAACAGTAAATCAAATAAATGTTAAATACTGTAGTTAGTTAACATTTTATGCGTACAATAAATATAGCATAATAAATCAGTTAGGCCTAATATTAAAATTAATTAATTAGGCCTAACATTAAAATAATACTTCATTCACATAATATCCACTAGTATAGGTATTAAATATTTATTTCTTTAGTAATATAAATGAAGCTAGTAATAACATTTTTTTACGCTAACACGCACACTGCGAGGTTAAAAAATCAAGCAACAGACACAGTAAACTTTATCCATGAGCCGGGAAGCGGGCTCTCGAAGTTGCGTCGGGCATGTACAATGGGAAACAATGCCATTGTTTGCGCTTCCGTTGGTAACGCAGATTGTAGGGCTCGATATTGCCGCTAGGAGCAGCACACTACTAGGCTATAAAAACGCCCACGATAAACTCCATATGGCTGCCTATCTCATTATATTACTTCATCTATGGTAATACCCCAAATTACCAACCCATAAGTTAATCTACATTGAATAGTTGCAAAGTAAACAGTTTTTAAAATGTTTTCACTAACCGAGTTGTATAGTACTTTAAGAGCAAAATACCCCCGCCGCAGCAAACCTGCAGACTAAGTGAATTTCAACTTGTCTGATTACATTTTCACTAAAATATTTCCATAAATAAGATATATTTAAGTATTCCCTATTTAAATAACATTATATTTAACGAGTGCTTAGGTTTGCTGCTACGGGGAAGGTAAAAAGTGTGTTTTGACCATACCTCAATAGTATAGTATGAAATAAATAAATTTGCCAAATTTTATCAATATATATATCCATAAACAAGTAAACTAAAACAATTTTCATTTTCTCCATAAGAATAACATGGGAATTTTAAATTACACTATTTTTTTATTTTCTTCGTGACTGTTAGGCATACAACAGCGCTTAAATATACTAAATTATTTCTTTACTTAAGCTCTACAAACTGGTTTAAAAAGAAATTCCAATTTTTTTGTTTTTAGGGTCAAAAATGGGAAAACCCCATGTTTACCCCATAAAACCCCCCATAAACCCCCGTTCCCATGGTCCAATTATGCTGGATCGCGAACTCCTTTGAAAAAACGTAGGTTTACATGTTTGCACCAAATTTCATCAAAATCGTATCATTTTTGCTCGAGTTATCGCGCTAACAGACACACACACACACACACACACACACACACACACATATATATATATATATACATATGAATTTGAACGGATGGTGTTTTTGGCCTCTAGGGACCTCAAAATGAAAAATTAAATCGGTCCCGGGTCCAGGTCTTACCATGAGTACTACGGTAATAGCTTATTCCCTATATGGAAAATTCGTTATATTCCCTATATGGGAAATTCGCTAACGAGAAGAATTTAATTTTTTACTTTAAGTATCAATATGTATAGAAAATTCTAATTTCACATCGATAGTTACCCCTAAAAATTTATAAAAAAGGTTTTTAGTTTTACTTGAACTTTGTGAAGCTTCACGAGTTTTGAATTTGATTATTCCTATTTTGAATTTGATTCCTTCTGACAAGTCCACCCGCATCAAGAATCCCGCTCGTGTAGACACGCCTATTTAATGCAATGGGCCCTGTCGAGTGCGTGGCCTCGACGCGGGAATCCTGTCGCGCGTTTCACCCTCGTGTAGAATGGGCCTAAATGCTGCTAGAAATGGTAATTATGTGTGGAAAAAATTTATATCTTAAGCTGTATTGATTAAAATAATTCAGACTTAATACTTTCTTGTCCCATCTTTTACTGCATTGAGTATCAGGGGCTCTTTAACATGTCTGATTGTTGTTTCATTATTACAGTGCATAGCTGTTCATCTAAGTCTTCAACTACCACCTTCTTCTCTCTTGAACGTTACAGATTTTTCTTCAGTGCTAATGGAAAAAATTAGTGATATTGAAAAATCAGATAAAATGTAAGTCTTTTAGAACTAGATTTAGACCTAGCGATACAAATTGTACTCTTCTAATTATGTAGTTGTACAGTACCACATCTCTTATAACTGAATCATTGTCTCGGGGAATACATGGATATTTAACTCTGTCAATTAGGCTGCAAACATTAGAGCACCCTTATTGTATGAACTCAGATTATGTCAATCCATCATTAGTTGTTGGCCTGTTCTATCCTCTGGCACAGTGTATTGGAAGGCCCCTGGTTTACATGCTACTCAAATCAGTTGAGGTGATGCCTCATAATTTTTAGACTCTTATTTAGATTAAACCTAGAATACTGAAAGAGATTTATTTAGTTATAACTGATAAATAGACCTACAGTAGACTCCCTCTTATCCGGACTCCTCAGGACCGAGGCCAGTCCTGACAACGGTTTTTCCGGTTAAACCGATGTCCCCAAAAACTTGATAAAACGGACAGTTTACTGTGGTATTCGACTTAAAATTTAGGAGAGCATTGTATTTAGACACATGATCACTGGTCTCAAATCTTCCCCACGAGAACAGTCGTTTCAGTACCGGCCAATTCCTGCCGATCTAGTCCGGTTGAACCAATGTGCTGATACAAATTGTCTGGTTAGAGAGATGTAATTTTCACCGAGTGTAGTCCGGTTAAACCGATGTCCGGTTAAACCGAAGTCCAGTTAAAAGGTGTCCACCTGTCGTGCCTGGGCGCCCCTCAACGGCGGGCGCCCCTAACCACGTGCCTAGTGTGCCTTATGCTAAGTCCGCCACTGAATAAACTATTTACAAAATTTGAAGAAAATCATCAAAACCGTTTCGAGATCGTTGTGCAAGCAAACAAGTATACAAACATACAAGCAAACATTGCTCATATAAGAGTATATGATTTTATCAGCTGTTATGATCTTATCTTGGTCAAAATCTGTTGGGAATTGGCTGGTTAAGCAGGTTTAATATAATTTATCCCTGTATTAATTTTTAACAAAAATTAGGGATGGTCAAGTCTCGAAATTTCGGGAAATTTTCGGGAAATTTTCAATCTCGTTACACGAGACGAGATTACTTTTTGGCCGAGATTTTTATTGAGACGAGAATTAAAAAAAAAAAAAAAAAAAAAAATTAAAAACGCCTGCAGAAAGTCAATGCAATACCCGCAATACAGGAGCGTGTTGTAGTTGCGTTTCCTTTTCGAAGGCGTTCTTATTTAATTAATTCTTTTAATGTAAATATTACTTTAATTCTTTTAATGTAAATATTACTTTAATTCTTTTAATGTAAATATTACTTTAATTCTTTTAATGTAAATATTACTTTCATTATTTTAATAATATTACTTTAATAACATTTGAGAAGTTTTGTTAAGTGTAAGCAGTGTGAGGAATGTTTTATTACTATAAAAAAAGTCAAAACAAGTAACTATTTTATAAAAATTAATATTGCTTTTATTTTATGATTTATTTTATTTTAGGATAAGTTGAACTCTATCCTAACTGATATCACCATGTTTCCTAATCGTAGGCATTTTTAATAAGTTAGGCGTGATTAATAAAAAAATGTTATGCTGATGTTATTTAATGAAAGATTGTAAATATTCTTGCCTATTATCATTATTTTAGTATTTAAACAGTCATCTAACAATGTTACAAAATCAGGTAAAAATTTCGAACGTGCATTTCCCGTTGTGTATGAGAAGAGAAATCTCGTCTCGATCTCGTCTCGAAATTTTATGAGAAATAAAAAATCTCGTCTCGTCTCGTCTCGAACTAAAAATCCAATCTCGTCCATCCCTACAAAAAATATTACCATTTTACAACAAATTTTACAACGATTTGGCTAATGGTAATAACTAACACTAAAATAAAATATTTAAAAGGACAATTTAAAAATTTTTTTGAGGTTACAGGTTTTTATTTAGCACATATTTTGAAAGAAATAGAATCAGCAATAACTCCTAAAATGTAATAAAGTGCTTTAAGCACTTGTACATTATGTTTTTTACTGATTTATGTATTTTTATATTTTACAAAATATGCTACTCTTTAATGAAATAAAAACTTTAGTAATCGTGGTTTAATATGAATTTCCTTGTTTTAAGGCAAAAACAAGTGGAAAAGTCAATTTTCAAAGTTTTGTCTCTAAACTGATTTTACTCGTCAACCATTTGAGATAGAAAATAACTTTAAGTACAAAAGTTTTAGACACAGTAGACCCCATCTTAACAGACCCTAAGGTATACAATAAGATATTTTGTATAAGATATTTTGGTCTGGTTATATGTTATAGGACCAGACCTAGGTTGTGTTACTCAAAAGGTTAGTTAAAACAGGCAATATCGGTAGCTAAAAACATAAAAAAATGAAGTGCTATTAATTTGGAATTATATAATCATTATTTTTAAGTCGTACTTGCATTATTTATTAAATAAACTACACTTATCTCCTTTTTTTCTTACTGTATTGATTGATAGAAAAGTTACAAATAAACACAAAACACGGTTAAGCCAAATACTTTCAGTGGAATAAATTACCGTATAGTTTTAGGCAAGAGTCAATAAAAATTCTTATTTTAATAACTTTAGTACTGTAATATTGATTGAAGCTTCTAAATCTATCGTAATACAGTGTACATAATTAACAAAAAAGTTTTAAATTAAAGATACAAGCAACCATTTCATTACGAGACAGGATGTTTATTTATAGCCTCTCACTGGAGGCTCGAGTCACTAAAACTATCTTAACCTTGGAGTAGTTAACCTCCCTCCCTTGCCCTCCCTACTAGTTGCGTTGTTTGTTTACTCTAGCGATAAGAATTCTAGATTATATTGCAAAAATAGCAGCTGTTTTCAGAAAGATAAATTGGTTGGTATAAATACAAAATAACTTATTCTTTGTCACATCCTGTGGAGATAAGCGTATGGTTCCCATCGCCGAGTATGGTAGTAGAAAAGCGGAGATTCCTAGAAAGTGGCGGTTAAACTGAACTGCTCTCAAAGCAAGGGTGGTTAAAACAAACTGTAATATTTTACGATCAAAGGCGGATAATCGCTGAATGCGAAGTCGGTTAGAGGGTCTTTACTAAAGAGTTCCATAAGACTTAACATCCAAGCTGTGGTTTAGCTTTTACAGACCAAAATATAAAGGGTAGATAGTAGATTTTCACCAAAAATCGCATTAATCCCCCCCCCCTCTCTCGCCAAACACCCCTTAAATTATAAATTTTGCAAAATAATGGCGGGGGCCTTATTGCACATCTACACCATATAGGGACCCCCTATATAAAATTTGATAATTCTAGGTTGTATATGTTTTGAGACATAGTGATCATCTGTCAGTGAGTCGTACTTGCCATTTATATACAAGATATACACTTGTTATAAGGAAACTAGCGGAATACCCGTGCTTCGCTACAGAATATTTCAAATTATTTGAAGTTTTTAATAAATTAGTGTTTAAGTGCCAAAAACCTTCAGTCAACAATTAATTTGGCTACAACTTGTTTTTCTCCAAACGATATCATATTAAAGCAGCTATTATAATGTCTCACCCGGTCAATAAAGTGTGTATGCTCAGGATGGTTGCCCATGACCAGACTGCATAAAGGTTCAGGTAGAGGCTGCAAAGGTAGTAGTTGCACTTTACCACCATTGCCATGCCCGGTGTTTCTTCTTTCCATTTTAAGGCCTCGTAGTACTTTCGAACCTCATGGTACCTATTGCCACCGATCTATCTTCTTCGTAGTCTATTTTCGGATTATATGTCATTACTGATAGATTTTTCACCATCCATTGAATCTTTGGCGAATGTCTTTTAGGATGAGTTTGTTCATACTTTTTGCTTGCGTTCTTCACCTGCTTTTTCCTTTGTTGTATTCCTTTTACTGTTGTGGGATAAGATTGAGGAGTAGTCCCAATTCCTCACATGTTCAACAATTGCTTTGCGCACAATTAGTATGTGTGTAAGGTGAATTATGAATGAGAGTAAATAAACACGCACCATCTCCTGTGATGTGAATTATATTGTGTGGCACGAACTCGCCATTAACATTTAAAACCTCAGTGTCCATATTATGAAGCGGTTTAAACAACTACAAAAATATTAACAGAACAATAGAACTATAAGTTCTTAAAAATCAAAATGCAATAAAAAACTAAGTACAATTCTACTCCTCCAACACTAATCACACATATTAGAAGTTGATAAAACTAAAATGCCACATTAAATTAGGTTAATTTCACTAACTCGCAACTATGATGTTTATAGGGTCCGAAATAACCTTAGTAAAGTAAATTTTTATTTTAACAGCTGATGATTAAATAAATTGCAGACAAATGTAAACAAAACCCCAAAACAAATTATTCTTACTATACAAACTCAATGCTAACTTAGACCTTCTGTGGGGTGGGGCCCATTGGGAGTTTTGTAAAATCTATTACTTATTTAATACGCAAGCAGGATTTTTGTGACAATTACTCCTCCGAAACTACTGAGCCGATTTACATGTTTTTGGTGTCATTGGAAAGAGCGTAACGTGAAGTTGTGCAGGAAACTTTCTTTTTAGGTAAATAATTAGAGAGTGAGGCCCTGGGGCTCTTTAAAGTTTTGTATTTCTCCATAAGATTAACGTGGGATATAACAATTGTTTTGAAACTCCAGCTGTTGTCAGAAATTAAATATTAATAATTGGTCTCCATGAAAGCATGAGAAAATTCACAATGTTTACATTTGCTTTGACATTTAAATGTAAACAACCAGAACTGTCAAATGCCTATTTCACAATTTCAGACAGCTAATCCAAAAAAATAAAACAACTATGTGGTAGGTTTATTTAATCTTAAACTTTATGATAGATTATTCATTATAAATCTATTTCAGTGATTATGAAACAGATTTTTCCCGTTGCGAAGCAAAAAATAAAAGTGAGAAGAAGAACATATGTTAATTGTAAACAGTCAAGTGTAAATTATCGATGTTGTATTAAAAATGTGTATAGTTTTGGATGTTGGTTTGTGTTTAATGATATAAGTTATTAATTATTGAATTTTTATTTTAAGGATTTGGCATATGAGAATGCCTATGATAAATAACACCATTTCAGAGTTCTGCCAGTTTTTGCCAACCTCTGTTCTGTAGAGTTTAAAGTAGCCTACACCTTATTGTCGACAACTTAGGTACGGTACATTATAAAAGCTGACAGCCTTTTTACGTTGACTTAAATTGTACGCTTACCTTTCCCGTCCATGGGCAGTTTGATAGTTAAAAATTAACCCTTTAAACTGGACTAGGACTGTTATGTAAATTTTGAGTATTTTCATTGTTTACTAATTTTTTAGTTTACTCTTTTAAAATCATCGGAAATTGTGACTGTAATTAGTTTTTAAAAAGTTATTTGTTTATAAATAACTCCTGTACTTCTTTGCAATTGCTGGATTTCGAGCAACATGTACACTAGTCTCTTCTTAATTTCTGCCTACGCTATGAGAGGAATATATGTATGCAATATCTCATGCTTCTAGGGGCTATGCTTTTGGCCTGTGCGTTGATCGGAATTTCATATTTATATACAGTAAATAGATAATATGGAGTTTAGTGTAATATTTCATTTCATTCTTTAATTTTTTTCTGACTTCTGTTTATACACTTTTGTTATTAATCACTCCTCAGAAAGGCTGGCCTAGTATTCATTTTCCTAATTTATACAATTTCATTAATCTGTTCAATTATAATCATTAATAATATTCATTCGATAGCCTATATACTTTTTTACAAAGCCCACAACTTAGTTATTCATTAAATATGTAAGAGAATTGCAATAGATCAAAATTTCTTATAAAATAATTTCAAAATTAGTCCTTAAGAAATCAAAATTCAAGAAGCAGTGAAACAGTGATCCATGTGTTCAACAATAAACCGTTGTGGACATTGAGATTGAAAAGATCAGGGAAGCCATAGTTATAGTTGAAAGTTGAAACTGTTAAAAGGAGTCCAGATTCCATCTAAATTAAATTAATTAATCTCATGAAGAAAACCAGTTTGTATTCAAGTTATGTTATACAGTCAACCTCAAGAGTACTAACTCCAACATTATTTTTCAAAATTAAGTTTAAACTTTTCTTTTTAACTCTTTATATTCAGTGCACATTGGGCTTACCTTTTGGACAACCTCAAAATTTAATTTTCATTGTTGGGATTTTGTAAGTTTAACACATTAATTATTTGGACACTATTTAATTTATTAATTCTTAGCATTCAAGCCAGCACGACACCCTACCCTGAGATAGAGCCCATTTAAAATTATACTATTGTAAATTTGAACCTTTATTTAAAATTAATCTTCTATTTTATTATAACTTCAGCCTAAACTCCATTATCAGTCCTTTCATTATAACGTAAATTAGCCTTTTAAATTTCATTGCATGTTTGTTAATTTGTTTCAATAAAATACCTTTTGTAATTTGTATATATTTGTTAACTTATTAACCTTAAACATTTATAGAATATGCCTAGCCCAAAATGAATATTGTGAGGCGAGTTTACATTAGGAAAGAAGATTCTGAGGTAAATGGTTTGTGCATTTGTGCATTTTTGTAATAGTAGTATTATTTTTCTGAGGGGAGCAAGCTGGTCTAGTGGTAGAGTGGGGTGTTTCGGTTCCCAAACAAAAGGTCCCGGGTTCAAATCCCGCCAATCACCAATGGATTTTATCAATGTGATAATGGCGCAACTAGCCTCAAGCATCTTGTTAAACGGTTCTGGGCTAGAACCTTGCATCCTAGTATGTGAAGGTGGGAAATAAAAAAAATATTATTTTTCTGCAGAGAGGAGTTTGAAGTGCAACAACCATACACTGAAAAACTGAAGGTGATGGATCGTCTGCTACAGGAGGATGTAGTGCTAGATGAGGAGGTAGAACAGATGCTAGGTACCAGCATCGCAGCCTTACACTCCGTACCTACTGCCATATACTGCTTTCTGCGCTCTCAGAAACCCATACCTAAAATTCAGGTCAGCCTTTCTTGTTCATTGTTAACGTTAGGGTATTACTGACCCCTAGTGTGAAATATATGAATTAAGCTGCTATAAATTTGTACAAAACCATATTTAGTAGATTATTATAAATTTATTGTTTATGTAAGATTACGAGTAATAGAATGGGGCTACTTGGAAACATCTGTGTATATTTTTTGTAGGTGTCTGGGATACAGAAAGTTTAAGATCGGTATACATTGTTTCGTAAACTGAAGACTGGAAAGCTCCAGATGGTGTTCCTAGTGTAACAACCACACACGGGAAGGGTAGAAATTCAAAGATCGAATGCCGAGTAGAATTCAAAACTTAATTTATTATGTTAAATGAACAAAATTATTTGCAATGAAAAAAACAACAATGAATGTAAATACTATCAATTGAAAATATAGCCTATTAAAAGTGATTTAGAAACGGACATGCCCACCCCCACGGACACCCGTGGGGGAGGGAAAGATAGCGCATAACCGCGGCTCACCGACTCTACAAACCCCAACTCCCGACTCTGATTGACTACCCCAGGTTCGGCGGTCCCACACGTCACACAGAATGATGACACCTCATGTCAGCAAAACAATCAGGCCATGCATTCCATGCCACGATCCAAACAACCATTCATATTGAATGAATTCATATTTTTTACATTCAATAAAAGAATTAAGTAAAGTAATACCACAAAGCCCTTACAAAGCAGAAGAATTTTTAGGAAACAACTCAACAAATACAACATTTTCTTGGTCAGAGGTCTCATCATCGGATATAATTAAAGTTGTTGCTAAATTAACAAATTCTAAATCAATGGATTATTATTGGATTTCTAATAATATTTTGAAAAAGACTATAGGTTTTATTAGCTACCCTCTTGCTTTTATATTGAATACCTGTATGAGGGAGGGATATTTTTCTCCATCCCTCAAAATATCGAAAGTAATCCCTATATTCAAAAAAGGTGATAAAAAAATGGTTCAAAATTATCGGCCTATTTCACTCGTTCCTATTTTTTCCAAAATATTTGAAGCAGTAATGTATAATCAATTAAATAAGTACTTTGAAACAAATAACCTATTGTCAAACTCCCAATTCGGCTTTCGTCGAGGTAAATCCACAACCTCAGCAATTCTCACTTTAGTTGACCATTCTCTCAAAACTTTAGAAAAGAAGGAATCTATGTCATTAGTTTTATGTGATTTAAGTAAAGCTTTTGACACGGTTCCTTTTGATATCCTAACTAACAAACTACGTTTTTATGCATCACTAATGATGCCATGCTTCTAATTTCTTCGTATTTATGTAATAGACCTTAATTGGTATCAATTAAAAATAAATGTTCTAAAACTGGAAAAGTTGAAACCGGTGTTCCTCAGGGCTCTGTACTAGGGCCATTTTTCTTTAACGTCTACATTAATGATCTTCCTATAAATATAAATACACAATCTGTTATATATGCGGGTGATACAACTTTACTCACTAACCATTCTAATTTAACAACCCTGCGCTTAATTAGTCAAGAGGCTGAACATAGAGCATATGATTGGTTTTCTGCAAACAGACTATCTTGTAATTCTGACAAATCACAATATATAACAATCAGTCTTAAAACAGAGGTAAAAATAAAATCTGTTTGTAACAAAATTTCAAGAGTGAGGTGCTTGCTGTGGAAACTTAAGGATTTTGCGACCAACCATAGTAAATCTTTATATATTCCAAATTATAATATATACAAAGTCAAACTTAGATCAATTCTCTTTCCGAAAAGACGTACACAATCACTATATAAGAGGTAGGGATAAAATAGATATATTGCAGCACAGATTGGCAAAAACCAAACATTCACATAAATTAAATTGTATAATGTTTTTTAATAAGCTGCCTGAAGAAGCAAAATTAGTTTCTTACAGTATTTTTAAAAATAAACTGTATGACTGGGTTGTTAAAAATCCCTTTTACAAAATTGATGATTTTTTAAGTTGTGAAATAAATATTAGATTTTGAAGAGTAAGTTGAAATAAAGCTTTTATTTTCATGTAAGTGGCTATTTAAATTTAGATATTTTGTACTGTAAACACTGAATCACCTTGTAACTATGTATAACAATGACGTGTCCTATTTCTTTTATAAAGATCAATGGAAATAAATATTTCTTATTCTTATTCTTAACCGAACGTGATGTAGCAATCGATGTACTCAATACTTTGTGACACTCAACAAAACTCCAAATAAATTGCAAGACAATGCAGGCTAGCGGAGTTGCGACACGCTTGCCAATATTACCGGCAATATCCAATTCTGGGCTTTGGACTGTTATCCATAATAACACTAAAAAAATACGGTCAACCACTGCCTGACCGTCACACTCCCCCCAACTCAGACGGAGGCCTGCCCTCAGGCCTTCAATTAAACTCCCACATTACCAACATACAACGGCAACAGCAGTTGCGTATGTCATACTGTAGTTGGAGTAATATGAGTACAGCTGACTTTCCTCACAGCTGATCTAGTGTGAACTTGCGGCTGACTGCAAGGTCACGCCGACTCAGCACAACAATACGCCGCGCCGCCCAGCGTGCAACTCATCTGGTGCAATGACCGCGCGCTACTCCAGCCAGCATGTCTTGGTATTATCGAACCCCCCTTTACTTAAAAGTGTCACAAACTATCAGTACATAGTAAACCAATTGATTCCCGGATTAATTAAAGCCAATTAACAGCTAACTTTCTAAGTTGACTGCATTAAAACATACTTCCCCTTAAATTTTTTCTGAAAATATATTAGACGAAACGCTCACTATCTTTCCCTTGTCCGCACATCTTTACAAACAACTACGGTATGACCGACTGAGTACTCACAAATCACACTACTAACACAACTTAAAACAAAACCCCAATTAAATTGCAAGACAATGCTGGCTAGCGAAGTTGCGACACGCTTGCCAATATTACCGGCAATATCCAATTCTGGGCTTTGGACTGTTATCCATAATAACACAAAAAAAAGTTCCTGCTCAGAACCTTAAACAAATGTTCAAAAACTCGTCCTGTTGCGGAAAGGAGTCAAACCACTTGACGTGACTTCCTCCTTCCGCTCAATATGCTTATAGAAAAATTCCTAGAGGGGTTCATCCTTTAACACATTGATTTAATAGATATTAAAAGCATGGCAAACAACTGTCCAGTAAACAAAACAAAAATCTTTAACTGTGGAGGCAGTTAAAAAGTAAATCATATTGGTAAACTATACTCTAATTGCTATACATAAATAATAATCCTTATATATAATATGTGAAGGCGATTTCTACGAAACACTACTCCTCCGTTAATAATGGACGGATTTTTACAAACGAGGTGTCATATATTGTATATATTGTGTAGACGCAATGTTTTGATTAACAAGCTCTATCTCTTGTTTCTTTAGACATATAACAATAATTCTTTTTTTGTTAGATTAGTTATAAATTTGTCTTCAAATTAATATACAATTTATTGGGTTAAGTTTTTTTTTTATATCCATACATATTAAAAACATGTATCACAATACAAAAAAAAATACATAAAAATTAACTTCATAAGCCAGCAACTACACCAGAAAAAAATATTTCTTATAAGTAAGTGTTAGATTTGTTGATTTTGTAGAATGTGTTCTACATATATTTGTTAGTAAACTGGCAAAATTTGAAAATCTTACCTTAAAAAATATGCTTACAGTGGTCTTTTTTGAAAAAGGCTTTAAATCGTTCTTTCGGGAAGCACTTGCATGTTCGTACATACTCTTCTCACTTAGTCCTAATTATTGACTTTCACATAACTAAGTTTATTTACTTTATAATCCATAGTTACTAAACAAAATAGAAATAATTATCATAACACACATGGGATATTTACATACTTATATACATATTTTACTTGAGACATTTTTAGCATTTGTGACGCCCAAAACATACAGCATGCATCCCTTTTTTGTATTGAATGCAGATTGTCCTAGACCTCTTTCTCTTGCCTCCTTCAGCAATGCTTACAGAGCTACACACACAACAGTTCCTTTCCTTCCTATCTGGGAGTGTTTCCATTCCAAAATTTCTTCTTAGTTGACCATCCCCTCCTGCCAAATAATCCGGTACATTCCTCTGGTCCAACCAATCTTTAGATAAACTTTGGATTATTGACAAAGTAAATGTCAATCTATTGAGGTCTTGACCACTGTTATTGTCCTTATAAATTATGTATAGGTTCAGTATCATCCTTGAAATAATGTTGAACACCACTTTTTTCCAATATTTTACTGACCCTCGTTCGTCAAGATAACAATAGAGCATTTGGTCCGAGTGGTCGATTCCCCCCATTTAGGAATTATATAGATCAATCACTTCAGGTTTTTTCTTCACGAGGCCTACTTGTTCATTATTTTTGACTTTCAATTTTTCAATAGATTTAGCCACAACTTTGGTTAAAATAAGATAACAGGATTTTTTTGGGAAGCTTTTTCTCTGTAGCCTAGCATTAACTTATAATCTTTACGGTTGTAGACCTTTTGGCCAACCTCGAACTTTTCCTTCAGTGCATCAGGAATTCCTTTCCTATTTCTTCTCATAGTACCTGTAATGTATTTTGACTATATAGGTATTCACTATTCAGCAAGAGGGATTGACATAAAGAAGTTATCGACAAAAAGCTAGTAGCCTTTGTTTAGATAAGGACCAACTTGAAGGAGCTTTGTAACTACTTTGTAGGCAAGACCATGCTCAGGTCTCCCGTCATCACTTTTGCCTTTGTAACAAGTAAAACCTAAGCAATATTTTGATACACTATCACACAACATCCAAAGCTTAATCCCCCACCGATGATGGTGATTGTTTGATACTGAGTTAGCTTCGAACGACTTTTGGTACCGATCAAACTTTCATTGATAGATATCTCTCTGTGAGGGGTATAATGCCTTCTGAACACTCTGTTCGCATGATTCGAGGTTGAAATTTGGCTGCAGG